TCAAAATGTGGGTTGGCATCAGAGATACTGCACTTGGTTGGTTTCATTCTTATCTTTTAGACAGAACCTTTGCGGTCACCATGGGTGATTTTACCTCCTCTACAGCCCCCATCACCTGTGGTGTGCCGCAAGGTTCTATTTTAGGTCCCATTTTATTTTCTATTTATATGCTCCCCCTACACGTTATGACAGGCCATAACGTGTCCTTCCACTGCTATGCGGACGACACACAGATCTACCTCCCGCTGAGACCAAACGACCCTGGAAGTCTGGCTGCTGTGGTCGATTGTTTTAATGAGGTGAACAGTTGGATGGCCCACAACTTTCTACAGCTCAACACCTCCAAATCTGAAGTCCTCCTCATCAACCCGCCTCCATCTATATCCCACATCCAAACCCACCTCGGCCCCCTATCCTCAAACATCACTCCCTCCGCCCGTAACCTTGGTGTCATTTTCGATTCTCACCTCACTTTCCGCTCCCACATCAATAAAACCACCCAAACCTGCTTCTATCACCTCCGCACAATCTCAAAGATTAAAAACATGCTCACTCCTCCCGATCTCCATAAAGTCGTCAACGCCCTCATCTTCTCCCGCCTCGACTACTGCAACTCCCTCCTCTCCGGTCTCGACGCTAAATCCCTCTCCCGCCTCCAACTGGTCCAGAACGCAGCAGCCAGACTTCTCACTGGTTTTAACAGAAGGGAGCACATCACCCCTGTTTTAGCGTCTCTCCACTGGCTCCCTGTGCGTTTTTAGAATTGATTTTAAGATTTTACTGATTACTTTTAAAGCTCGTTTAGGTCTGGCACCAAGCTATATTTCTGAACTTTTAACCCCCTACGAGCCCCCCCGCAGCCTTAGTTCCAAGGTCGAGGCTCCGGACGAAAGGTGACCGAGCCTTCTCTGTCCGGGCTCCTCGGCTTTGGAACGACCTGCCCGAGGAGATAAGGCACCATCAGTATCCTCTTTTAAATAACTTCTTAAAACCCACTTTTGTATTTTAATGTCTGCTTTGTCTTTGTTGTGTCTCTTTTGTGTTTTGCTCTGTTTGCTTTGTGTTTCTCTATCTAATTATCTTGACCTTGTATTAAGACTGTTTTTATCGTTTATCATGCTGACTGTGCAGCGCTTTGTAAACATTGTTTTTAAAAGTGCTATACAAATAAAGATTATTATTATTATTATTATTATTGACGGCCATTGACGTATTTTTCTGAGACCGGGGATTTCTGTCAAACTTCCCTCTTTTCCACTGGGGATTACAGGAGAACAAAACTATCTAGAAACACACTTATTTTTGCTGATGAAAGTAGACAATCCAGTCTTTCAGAATCTGGTTTCATATTTCACACAGACATAACGCACAATATTCTGTGGGTCTTGAAAGTCAGTGAAATAATCAAAAACGGCAGGCTTTCAATGAGTTAAAAATCGAACTAGGCTTTTTTAGAGCCTTTTTAGACTTTTTCTACTTATTTTAACCATAGTCACATGGTCCCGAGGGAAGCACCAGGGTTAAACATGGGTATGAATGTTGATGTTGTTTTTCGTCACATCTTGGAACCATGTAGCAGCCTCGCCGTGTCACACCAGTTACGTCAGCGCTTCTGGAACACGACCAGGAGGAGAATCCTGACTCGCAGAATTTGGTCCTAAAAATAATCAGGCTAAATTTATCTTTAACGTCACAACGGAAACGGTGCGGCTAAAAACCAAATCTGCACTGACCTCATTCTGAGAGAGAAAGAGGGAGTAAGAGAGAGAGAAAGAGAGAGAGAGCTCCGGCTGTTTTTAGACCCGATTATGAAATATGTGGGAATCCAGCCAACATTCCTCTTAAAGTGTTTGACGGACACAGTTGTACCTGTAACTTAGTCCAACTTGGTTTAAGTTACAGAGAGAGAGACACAGAGAGAGAGAGAGAGACAGACACAGACAGAGAGAGAGAGAGAGAGAGAGAGAGAGAGAGAGAGAGAGAGAGAGAGAGAGAGAGAGGGTCACAGAGAGAGAGAGAGAGAGAGAGAGAGTGAGAGAGGGACACAGTGAGAGAGAGAGAGAGAGAGAGGGTCACAGTGAGAGAGAGAGAGAGAGGGTCACAGTGAGAGAGAGAGACACAGAGAGAGCGAGACATAGAGAGAGAGAGAGGGACACACACACAGAGAGAGCGAGACATAGAGAAAGAGAGAGACACACACAGAGAGTGAGAGAGAGAGAGAGAGCTCTGGCTGTTTTTGGACCCGATTATGAAATATATGGGAGTCCAGCCAACATTCCTCTGACGTTTGACAGACGCAGTTGTACCTGTGACTTGTACCTGTGACTTGTACCTGTGACTTGTACCTGTGACTTGTATCCAACTGAAACCTGCCTTTAGTGCAACAACTGTTCTGTCAGTGTGATGTACGGAAGCCTGGAAGGCTTTTGTTCAAACCAAGATGCAATGCTCTGACTCAGATCTTATTCAGACCAAATCAAGTTGACTTTTCCGTTCAATACAATGGAAATCTGGAGAAATTCCCCCAAAAATGTTTAAGGTTTTTACCCATACTCACTTTAACCATGTGTTAAAATATGGTGAATATGCTCTAAAACACAGCAAGTTTGTAGAAAGACCTCTGAAGCTAAGCAGGGCAGGGCCTGGTTAGTGCTGTGATGGGAGACCTCTGGGAACAGCAGGTGCCACAGTGGGACGGCTGCGGCTGTAAAGGGCCAAACTGTGTCCTTAGGCAAGACACTTCACCCACGTTAGGATGAGTCTGGTGTGTGTGTGAATGGTTGGTGGTGGTGGGAGGGGCTGATGGCACAGACAGGTTGCCTCGCTTCTGTCAGTGTGCCCCAGGGCAGCTGTGGCTACAATAGTACTTCACCACCGTGTTTGGAGTGAAAGAATGAAAAGTACTGTATAAAACCAATGCATTAGTATTATTAGAGTAGGGTTAGTGGAAACGGGGCTGAATGGATGAGTTCTGGGGGTCGTATCATTTAGAGTTAGATGTAATTTAGTTATTCATATTCTCTTTAAATAATTAAATAATCTAAATTCCAGTTTGCAGATACTGGAATTTAGTATTTGTCTCCGGTCTCTTTAAAACCAGGTTCTTTTCAAAGCTTTGGCCTCGGCTCTTGATCCTGGTCTTGTGTCTGACTCGTGCTGAAATGATCCGAGCTTCAGGTGAGAGAGGGAGCAGGGGTCAGCGCTCTATACCGAGCTCTCTCCTTTGGTGGATTGACCTTGAGCAGATTCTGTTTTGCCTGTTCAGATTGGACACTGTGTAAAAAGCGAGTCCAGGTGGAGTCCTGCCGCTCAGAGTCTGCAGCCTCCGCTCTCTGACATTTAGACCAGTGTTTGAAGTTTGTGGAAAGTGACTTGTGACTGAGTGGAAGGAGGGAGAGAGGGAGAGAAAGAGAGAGAGAGAGAGAGAGAGACACACACACACACAAAGAGAGACGCAGAGAGAGAGAGAAAGAAAGAGAGAGGGAGACAGACAGACCATCTTACTAAAAGTCTTAGCCCTAAATCTTTTGAGAACAATCCTGAGACGTAAAGACTTCACACTTAACTTAACACTACCTCCCCTTTAACTTCACACTACCTCCCCTTTAACTTAACACTACCTCCCCTTTAACTTCACTCTACCTCCCCTTTAACTTAACACTACCTCCCCTTTAACTTAACACTACCTCCCCTTTAACTTCACTCTACCTCCCCTTTAACTTAACACTACCTCCCCTTTAACTTCACACTACCTCCCCTTTAACTTCACACTACCTCCCCTTTAACTTAACACTACCCCCCTTTAACTTAACACTACCTTTCCTTTAACTTAACACTACCCCCCTTTAACTTAACACTACCTTTCCTTTAACTTAACACTACCTTCCTTTAACTTAACACTACCTCCCCTTTAACTGAACACTACCTCCCCTTTAACTTCACACTACCTCCCCTTTAACTTAACACTACCTCCCTTTTAACTTAACACTATCTCTCCTTTAACTTAACACTACCTCCCCTTTAACTTAACACTACCTCCCCTTTAACTTAACACTACCTCCTCTTTAACTGAACACTACCTCCCCTTTAACTGAACACCACCTCCCCTTTAACTTAACACCACCTCCCCTTTAACTTAACACTACCTCCCCTTTAACGTATCACTACCTCCCCTTTAACTTAACTCTACCTCCCCTTTAACTTAACACTATCTCTCCTTTAACTTAACACTACCTCCCCTTTAACTTAACACTACCTCCCCTTTAACTTAACACTACCTCCTCTTTAACTGAACACTACCTCCCCTTTAACTTAATACTACCTCCCTTTTAACTTAACACTACCTCCCCTTTAACTTAACACTACCTCCCCTTTAACTTAACACTACCTCCTCTTTAACTGAACACTACCTCCCCTTTAACTGAACACCACCTCCCCTTTAACTTAACACTACCTCCCCTTTAACTTATCACTACCTCCCCTTTAACTTAACACTACCTCCCCTTTAACTTCACACTACCTCCCCTTTAACTTAACACTACCTCCCTTTAACTTCACACTACCTCCCCTTTAACTTAACCCTACCTCCCCTTTTAACTTAACACTACCTCCCCTTTAACTTTACACTACCTCCCCTTTAACTTAACACTACCTCCCCTTTAACTTCACACTACCTCCCCTTTAATTTCACTCTACCTCCCCTTTAACCGTTTCTCGTCTCAGTGTAGAATTGTCTTTGTCGACCTGATTTGGGGCAAAACAAACGGTGTGTACTGAGGGAGCTGGGAGTGTGTATTGATTTGAAACGGGAAACCACCGGAGAAGCCACGGGTCAAGGTCGGCCCGCTGAAACAATAGACCTGAGAAGTCCGGGGCCGAGACCGAGGGTCCCGAGGGTCTGACAACATAATGGAGTGAGGTCATGGGCGGCAGTTTGGGACTCGCTGCTACTGTTCTCTCCACAGTCCTGATGATGTATCGCCGCCTCACAGCACTCACTGATGTCAGGGATCATTGTTCTGGGTCTCCGTCACACAGAGAGAGAGAGACAGACGGGAGGGTCTCGCTACAAGAGGGTCTCGCTACAGCAGGGTCTTGCTCCAACAGGGTCTCGCTACAAGAGGGTCTCGCTCCAACAGGGTCTCGCTACAAGAGGGTCTCGCTCCAACAGGGTCTCGCTACGACAGGGTCTCGCAACAACAGGGTCTCGCTACAACAGGGTCTCGCTACTACAGGGTCTCGCTACAACAGGGTCTCGCTACAGCAGGGTCTCGCTACAGGAGGGTCGCGCTACAGCAGGGTCTCGCTACAACAGGGTCTCGCTACAACAGGGTAGCAGGGTCTCGCTACGACAGGGTCTCGCTACAGGGGGGTCTCGCTACAACAAGGTCTCGCTACAGCAGGGTCTCGCTACAGGAGGGTCTCGCTACAGGAGGGTCTTGCTACAGCAGGGTCTCGCTACAGGAGGGTCTCTGCTACAGCAGGTTCTCGCTACAACAGGGTCTCGCTACAGCAGGGTCTCGCTACAACAGGGTCTCGCTACAGCATGGTCTCGCTACAGCAGGGTCTCGCTACGACAGGGTCTCGCTACAACAGGGTCTCGCTACGACAGGGTCTCGCTCCAGGAGGGTCTCGCTACAGGGGGGTCTCGCTACAACAAGGTCTCGCTACAACAAGGTCTCGCTACAACAAGGTCTCGCTACAACAAGGTCTCGCTACAACAGGGTCTCGCTACAGGAGGGTCTCGCTACAGGAGGGTCTCGCTACAGGAGGGTCTTGCTACAGCAGGGTCTCGCTACAGCAGGGTCTCGCTACAACGGGGTCTCGCTACAGCAGGGTATCGCTACAACAGGGTCTCGCTACAGCAGGGTATCGCTACAACAGGGTCTCGCTACAACAGGGTCTCGCTACAGCATGGTCTCGCTACAGCAGGGTCTCGCTACGACAGGGTCTCGCTACGACAGGGTCTCGCTACGACAAGGTCTCCCTACAACAGGGTCTCGCTACAGCAGGGTTTCGCTATGACAGGGTCTCGCTCCAGGAGGGTCTCGCTACAGGAGGGTCTCGCTACAGGAGGGTCTCGCTACAACAGGGTCTCGCTACAACAGGGTCTTGCTACAGCAGGGTCTCGCTACAGGAGGGTCTCGCTACCACAGGGTCTCGCTACAGCAGGGTCTCGCTACAGCAGGGTCTCGCTACAGGAGGGTCTCGCTACAGGAGGGTCTCGCTACAGCAGGGTCTCGCTACAGCAGGGTCTCGCTACAGCAGGGTCTCGCTACAGGAGGGTCTCGCTACAGCAGGGTCTCGCTACAATAGGGTCTCGCTACAGGAGGCTCTCGCTACAACAGGGTCTCGCTACAAGAGGGTCTCACTGCAACATGGTCTGGCTATAAGAGGCCAGGTTTGGAGTCGCCGTTATGCTAGCTACGTACAGTATGTACGGATTAGGAGAGACAGAGAGGAAGAGACAAAGATAGAGAGTGAAGAAGTCAGGGAGATAGAAAGGGAGAGACAGAGAGAGAGAAGGAGTCAATGAGAGAGAGAGAGAGAGAGACACACACACAGAGCGAGAGACACAGAGGGAGAGAGAGAGAGCAGGAGAGAGAGAGAGACAGGCGGAGAGAGTGAGTGAGACAGAGAAAGAGAGACAAAGACAGAGAGACCGGACTCTGAGGAGCACAGGGACTGGTCTCCTGCTGGCCCCAGAGTCAGGACTCGACATTGGGAGGCAGTGTTTCAGATTCATGCTAAAACCTGGATCAATCTTCCTGAAAATGTGAGACAGGCCTCTCCTCTGACTATGGTAAAAACAGTCTTCGTTGTAAGTTTTTAAAGCTCACCCACGGCTCATATTCACTGTTCCAGATCAGTTCTTTCTGGTAATTGGGTTTTTATGATCCACAAATTCAGACGAACCACGATTCTGAAAATGTTTGACAATAAAATGTTTTTTACGTCACTGTTTCATTTTCCCCGAATTCAGAACCGAGGATCTTAATTATGTTCAGAGATAAAGAAGCGCTTTTCATTCTTGATATAAGTAAAAATATGAGTAATAGTGATTTTACACACAGAGAGAGAGAGAGAGAGATAGACAGAGAGAGAGAGAGACAGACAGAGAAAGACCGAGAAAGACCGAGAGAGAGACACGTAGAGAGAGAGAGAGACATAGAAAGACAGACAGAGAGAGAGAGAGAGACAGAGATAGAGACAGAGACAGAAAAAGACAGAGAGAGAGACACGTAGAGAGAGAGAAAAGTAGAGAGAGAGAGATACATAGAAAGAGACAGAGAGAAAAGAGAGAGAGAGGGACAGAGATAAAGAGAGAGAGGAGTCAGGGAGAGAGAGAGACAGAGAGAGACAGAGAAAGACAGAGAGAGAGAGAAAGACAGAGAGAGAGAGAGACAGAGAGAGAGATATACATAGAAAAAGACAGAGAGAGAAGAGAGAAAGAGAGAGACAGAGATAAAGAGAGAGAGAAGGAGTCAGGGAGAGAGAAAGACAGAGAGACAGAAAGACAGAGAGAGAGAGAGACAGAGAGAGACATGTAGAGACAGAGAGACATGGAAAGAGACGGAGAGAGAAGAGAGAGCGAGAGAGAGACAGAGATAAAGAGAGAGAAGGAGTCAGGGAGAGAGAGAGACAGAGAGAGAAATACCATGTGCCAGACTGAGGCTCTGGTGACGGAGAGTGGAAAGTTGTGCGTGACGTTTGTTGTGTTACTCTGTCACTGAGCTCTTCGGTCCGACCACATTCTTCTGCGTTCGTGTGAATGAGGCGACTCCCTACACACCATCAACAGCCTCTGGATCCTCTCTGCCTGGGTTTCTCTCCTGGTTTCTCTCCTGGTTCTCTCTCCTCTGATTTTCTCTCCTCCTGGTTGTCTCCTCTGGTTCTCTCACCTCTGGATCCTCTCTGCTGGTTTCTCTGCCTGGGTTTCTCTCCTCTGGTTCTCTCTCCTCTGGTTCTCTCTCTTCTGGATCTTCTCTGCTGGTTTCTCTCCTCTGGTTTTCTCTCCTGGTATTCTCTCCTACGCAGACACGGGGAGAACATGCAAACTCCATGCTGAGAGGTCTGGAGGTGGAATCAAACCCAGAACTGTCTTTGCTGCTTCAGTCACGATGCATGGCCTTAGCTGCAGGTGAAAGCTAGATCCTGTCAGACCTCTGAAGCTAAGCAGGACAGGGCCTGGTTAGTACTGTGATGGGAGACCTCTGGGAAGGTGCCACATTGGGATGACTGTGGCTGTAAAGTGCCAAACTGTGGTTGTGTCCTTAGGCAAGACACTTCACCCACATCAGAATGAGTCTGGTGTGTGTGTGAGTGGTTGGTGGTGGTGGGAGGGGCTGATGGCACAGACTGGTGGCCTCGCTTCTGTCAGTGTGCCCCAGGGCAGCTGCGGCTACAGTAGTAGTCTATCACCACCGTGTTTGGAGTGAATGAAGAATGACTGAAAAAGCTCTGTATAAAACCAATGATTCATTATTAATATCATAATAAAGACAGAAGTCAAAAATCTCTGATGTATGGTCTGATATTAAAGCAGGAAACAGTGGGAACAAGTTGATGTTTTCTTGGTTTCTTTGAGAACAGAACGAGGCTGAAAGGTCAGAAAGGTTCACATCCAGAACAAACAAATGGCTCCACGTCCAGGACCGGAACATTGGACTCAAGGTTAAGAACCCAAGCTTTAAACACAGAGAAAAGGAGAACGCTGTGAACAAACCAGAAAACCACATTCTCTCTTCATTTCATCAGATTAAGATTAAGATTAAGACCCTGTGTTGGTCCCACAGCGGGGAAATGTCAGTGTTTAAAATACTGTAAAATCTGGCTCAAAACATGTATAGTTAAATCTATAATTAAATACATTGGGCCTCATTCACGAACGGTTCTTAGGAACAGATGTGTACGTAAATCCTACTTACGCGGTTTTTACGAAGAAAGTGGCATTCACGAATATTTCTCGTAACCAGAATTTCTCTTGGGCAAGTACAAATCCTACGAGTCCTCAGGAGCACTCGTACGCATTCAGTGCCGACATGTTCACACGCCGGGGTTGTCCTCTTTGGTGAAGTTGAATAAAAATACAACATTCCAGTGATATGTCCGTCATATCGATGTATGTATTTATTTATTTGTAGTAATCTTTATTAGTAATCTTTATTTATATACCGCCTTTTTCACTGCAGATCTGGCCTACTTTTTAATTCATTTTGAAATGAAATGTGCCAACGCTTTATCAAATACATTGGAAATCTTGCCGTGTATTAGTGACCCCTTCCTATTTATAGGGGGCATTTCTTTATCCACGGGCCACAGAACAACGGCATATATACTGCTGCTGCAGGAGGTTACTGGGTCCGCGCTGAGTCTCTGCACTGGTCTCTCCCATGGATCTATACGGGTCTGCACTAGTCTCTCCCATGGATCTATACGGGTCTGCACTGGTCTCTCCCATGGATCTATACTGGTCTGCACTGGTCTCTCCCATGGATCTATACTGGTCTGCACTGGTCTCTCCCATGGATCTAGACGGGTCTGCACTGGTCTCTCCCATATACGGGTCTGCACTGGTCTCTCTCCATACGGGTCCGTGCTGCATGCTCCTGGATCCATACGGGTCCGCGCTGGTCTCTCAAGTCTGGTCTATGCGGTCTATCTTCGGTCCGCGCTGGTCTCTGCGCACCGGTCTCTCCAGTCAGGTCACTACAGTCTATGCGGTCTCTCCTATAGGTCCGCGCTGGTTTCTGTGTGCTGGTCACTCCAGTCTCTCCTCGGGTCTGCATTGGTCTCAGCGCTGGTCCGCGCTGGATCTCCTCCCAGGGTCCAAAATATTTTGAGATTAATCTCAAAACATTTTGAGATTCATCTTTAAAATACTACATAATATATGTTTAAATTAAGCTCATAACATTTTGAGATTAATCTCATCATATTCTTAGATTAATCTCATAATTTTGCTAGTTCGACTTTATTATCATAATATTTCGACTTTTAAGTCAACATTTTATAACTTTATTCTCAGTCTGGTAAAAGAAGAAAAAAGGGTGACTCTTTTGCTCCGTGGCCTGTTGCTTTAGGCCTGTTGCTGTTTCCTCTGCCGTCTGCACACGGCCCTGCAGTCCCTTATATGGGCATTAGTGGGCGGTTACTTATGCTAAGTACCTATGCTAATGAAGCACCTGGCACGCGCGCTGTACTTACGAGGAAATGGGATTCATCAAGCTAAGAGAACAGCTGCGAACAATTCAGCGCCTTACGAGTGCGTTGATGAATCCCACGTGGGGACTTCTTAGAAATCTACTTAAGGACAACTTGAGAAGAAAGTTGAGTAATTTCTTACGAAGTTATTCGTGAATGAGGCCCATTGTCCCTGTGAGTAGATCCCTGTGAGTCTCTATTTGACGCTTTGGGCTTTAACACTAACACTTTTTGTTTTTTCCAAATGTTTTGACTTTTTCTATGAGTGTTTTATTTCTCTCGTTATTTCCATGACCTTATCTTATATTTTTGAAATGTGAGCAGTCATTTTTACTTTATGAACAAATAAATGAGTGTCTATATTCGTCCCACAGCGGGTAAATTACAGACAGAAATGTTTATTTAAATTATATTCAAGTTTAGCACTTATTGAAAGCAGACGTATAAATTACTTTTTTTCATACATCTGCTGGAAAACTACATATTTTTGGGGCGGAATTTCTCAGACTTCCATTGTTTTGAGTGGGAGCAGTCAAAATGACGGCTCTGGGTATTGTACTAGATTATTACTACCGACCAGAGAGAGACCGGAGAGAGACGAGAGAGAGTCCAGAGAGAGACCAGAGAGAGAGACCAGAGAGAGACCAGAGAGGGACCAGAGAGAGAGGCCAGAGAGAGACCAGAGAGAGACCAGAGAGAGACCAGATAGAGACCAGAGAGAGACCAGAGAGAGACCAGAGAGAGACCAGAGAGAGACCGGAGAGAGACCAGAGAGAGACGAGAGGGAGACGAGAGGGAGACGAGAGGGAGACGAGAGGGAGACGAGAGGGAGACGAGAGGGAGACGAGAGTGAGACGAGAGTGAGACGAGAGTGAGACGAGAGTGAGACGAGAGTGAGACGAGAGTGAGACGAGAGTGAGACGAGAGTGAGACGAGAGAGAGACGAGAGAGAGACGAGAGAGAGACGAGAGAGAGACGAGAGAGAGACGAGAGAGAGACGAGAGAGAGACGAGAGAGAGACGAGAGAGAGACGAGAGAGAGACGAGAGAGAGACGAGAGAGAGACGAGAGTGAGACGAGAGTGAGACGAGAGTGAGACGAGAGAGAGACGAGAGAGAGACGAGAGAGAGACGAGAGGGAGACGAGAGGGAGACGAGAGTGAGACGAGAGTGAAACGAGAGTGAGACGAGAGTGAGACGAGAGAGAGACGAGAGAGACGAGAGAGAGACGAGAGAGAGACGAGAGAGAGACGAGAGAGAGACGAGAGAGAGACGAGAGAGAGACGAGAGGGAGACGAGAGAGAGACGAGAGAGAGACGAGAGAGAGACCGGAGAGAGACCGGAGAGAGACGAGAGAGAGACGAGAGAGAGAGACGAGAGAGAGACCGGAGAGAGACGAGAGAGAGACGAGAGAGAGACGAGAGAGAGAGACGAGAGAGAGACGAGAGAGAGTCCAGAGAGAGTCCAGAGAGAGTCGAGAGAGAGACCAGAGAGAGAGAGAGAGAGGCCAGAGAGAGAGACCAGAGAGAGACCAGAGAGAGACCAGAGAGAGACCAGAGAGAGACGAGAGAGAGTCCAGAGAGAGAGTCCAGAGAGAGTCCAGAGAGAGAGAGACCAGAGAGAGACCAGAGAGGGACCAGAGAGGGACCAGAGAGAGAGGCCAGAGATAGGCCAGAGAGAGACGAGAGAGAGACGAGAGAGAGACCAGAGAAAGAGAGAGAGAGGCCAGAGAGAGAGACCAGAGAGAGACCAGAGAGAGACCAGAGAGAGACCAGAGAGAGACGAGAGAGAGTCCAGAGAGAGAGTCCAGAGAGAGTCCAGAGAGAGAGAGACCAGAGAGAGACCAGAGAGGGACCAGAGAGGGACCAGAGAGGGACCAGAGAGAGAGGCCAGAGATAGGCCAGAGAGAGACGAGAGAGAGTCGAGAGAGAGACGAGAGAGAGACGAGAGAGAGACCGGAGAGAGACCGGAGAGAGACGAGAGAGAGACGAGAGAGAGAGACGAGAGAGAGACCGGAGAGAGACGAGAGAGAGACGAGAGAGAGAGACGAGAGAGAGACGAGAGAGAGTCCAGAGAGAGTCCAGAGAGAGTCGAGAGAGAGACCAGAGAGAGAGAGAGAGAGGCCAGAGAGAGAGACCAGAGAGAGACCAGAGAGAGACGAGAGAGAGTCCAGAGAGAGAGTCCAGAGAGAGTCCAGAGAGAGAGAGACCAGAGAGAGACCAGAGAGGGACCAGAGAGGGACCAGAGAGAGAGGCCAGAGATAGGCCAGAGAGAGACGAGAGAGAGACGAGAGAGAGACCAGAGAAAGAGAGAGAGAGGCCAGAGAGAGAGACCAGAGAGAGACCAGAGAGAGACCAGAGAGAGACCAGAGAGAGACGAGAGAGAGTCCAGAGAGAGAGTCCAGAGAGAGTCCAGAGAGAGAGAGACCAGAGAGAGACCAGAGAGGGACCAGAGAGGGACCAGAGAGAGAGGCCAGAGATAGGCCAGAGAGAGACGAGAGAGAGACAAGAGAGAGACGAGAGAGAGACGAGAGAGAGACGAGAGAGAGACGAGAGAGAGACAAGAGAGAGACGAGAGAGAGACGAGAGAGGGACGAGAGAGAGAGGCCAGAGAGAGAGGCCAGAGAGAGAGACCAGAGAGAGTCCAGAGAGAGAGAGACCAGAGAGAGACCAGAGAGGGACCAGAGAGGGACCAGAGAGAGAGGCCAGAGATAGGCCAGAGATAGGCCAGAGAGAGACCAGAGAGAGACCAGAGAGAGACCAGAGAGAGACCAGAGAGAGACCAGAGAGAGACCAGAGAGCGACCAGAGAGCGACCAGAGAGAGACCAGAGAGAGTCCAGAGAGAGTCCAGAGAGAGTCCAGAGAGAGTCCAGAGAGGGACCAGAGAGGGACCAGAGAGAGACCAGAGAGAGACCAGAGAAAGACGAGAGAGAGACCAGAGAGAGAGACCAGAGAGAGAGACGAGAGAGAGAGAGACTGGAGAGAGACTAGTGGACTGTAGTAGATTCAGAATTCCCTCTCCCCCTTCCTCCCCCCTCCCTGTCAGAGCATAAAGGTTACAGCCTGATTCCAACAAAACAGCGGTGCGTCTCCCCCTCGGCCTCGCTCGGGGATCTTCGGTGCTGCCTCATTACGCAGAGGCTAATGCAGAGGCTAATGCAGAGGCTGATGCAGAGGCTGATGCAGAGGCTGATGCAGAGGCTGATGCAGAGGCTGATGCAGAGGCTAATGCAGAGGCTAATGCAGAGGCTAATGCAGAGGCTAATGCAGAGGCTAATGCAGAGGCTAATGCAGAGGCTGATGCAGAGGCTGATGCAGAGGCTGATGCAGAGGCTGATGCAGAGGCTGATGCAGAGGCTAATGCAGAGGCTAATGCTAGCAGCGCGGAGCAGAGAGGGGCCAGAGTCTATTAGCGCCTGCAGATTATTCTCCGTTGTCTTAAATGAAACTAAACCAACTTCTGTAATCTGTGCCGCAGCAGTGAGCACCGACCACACGAAGGATTCTGATGGTAAAACGTCTTTCTCTAAAGTTTGAGATTAAGGTTAAAACTGTGGGGGAATTTCAGTCACAAGTTAAAGAACAAAATGCAAAAGGAGAGATTCAAAACTGGATATATTTCAAGTTTCCTTCTGAACCTTTTCCATAAATATCCATAACATCTAAAATAAATGTCCTCTCTACTCGGAAGATTTGTATTTGTTTATTTCTTTCAGAGACCAGAGAGAGACCAGAGAGAGACCAGAGAGAGACCAGAGAGAGACCAGAGCGAGACCAGAGAGAGACCAGAGAGAGACCAGCGAGATATCAGAGAGAGACCAGAGAGAGAAGAGAGAAAGACCAGATAAACCAGAAAAAGACCAGAGAGAGAGACCAGAGAGAGACCAGAAAGAGACCAGAAAGAGACCAGAAAGAGACCAGAAAGAGACCAGAAAGAGACCAGAAAGAGACCAGAAAGAGACCAGAAAGAGACCAGAAAGAGACCAGAAAGAGACCAGAAAGAGACCAGAGAGAGACCAGAGAGAGACCAGAGAAACCAGAAAGAGACCAGAGTGACACTAGAGAGAGAGAGAGACAGGAGAGAGACCAGAGACAGACTAGAGAGAGAGAGACACCAAAGAGAGAGACCTGAGAGAGACCATAAAGTATCTATCTATTATTCTTCTAGTTCTTCCGCTTCATCCGTTGCCTGGTGCACTGGTACTCTCTCCACAGACGAACAAAGCCGTCTTTAGTCAACAGTAGTTTTTATTCATTTGTTTTTGTCGGATCTTTACAAAGCTGACTTTTGATCCCAGCTTCGTGGAACGTGCCGCGGTAGAAAGTAGACGTTTTATCAGAGGTGGAAAAAAATGCAACTTTTCGTGTTCGAAAGCGTCGGCGAGTTTGTTAGTTTGAGTTAATTGTCTCCGGCATCATTAGCTATTGTCAGAAAGCGCTAATGAACGAGCGACTTCAAGGAATGATATTGTTGTGATGGCAAATTAGCACGACAAATGCAAAGACGTGACGCACAACGGCAGAAAGGAATCAGTGAACGACAACGTCTCAAGTTTCATGGTATCGAGAAAATACAGTGGTCTTCCTTCTCCCTGTGGACCCATGGTTCCTATGGGTTTGTTTTTATTATGTTTGATTCTCTAGTCTGTCGTTAGCGAAGAGAGAGACTGGAGAGAGACCAGAGAGAGACCGGAGAGAGACCGGAGAGAGACCAGAGAGAGACCAGAGAGAGACCAGAGAGAGACCAGAGAGAGACCAGAGAGAGACCAGAGAGAGACCAGAGAGAGACCAGAGAGAGAGACCAGAGAGAGAGACCAGAGAGAGACCAGAGAGAGACCAGAGAGAGACCAGAGAGAGACCAGAGAGAGACCAGAGAGAGACCAGAGAGAGACCAGAGAGAGAGCAGAGAGAGACCAGAGAGAGACCAGAGCGAGACCAGAGCACTCTCCTTTCTTTGACTGTGATGTTGCCGAACCACACATTCACAGAACCAACAACAAGCAGAGTGTGCAGAATCCTCCGGAGAGAACGGGCGATGGATGGAGAGAGAGAAGGAGAGGGAAAGAGAGAGAGAGAGAAAGAGAGAGAGCTTGGATGGAGGCCGTGGGCGGATGTTGTGTGCGCGCCCCGAAACATGGGTACGGCGTGTGGGCTGGAGAGCGCGAGCGGCCCGGGCGAAGGGTGAGCGAGAGTCAGCTCATTCAGCGGCATCAAATAAACGCTTATCTAATGCCGACGACCGCAAAAGTACACCCTCGATCTGCTCCCGGCCGCGGCGGAGAGAGGAAAACACGGTCTGTGCTTTTGTACCAGGGTTTGAAAAGGTTTGACGAAGCCGAGATGGTGCAGGAGAAGAGAGAGAGACCCTGATGATTGAACCCAAAAGCTGTTTCCAGATCTGAGCTGAGCCAAGATGTAACAGGAGGAGAAGAGAGGGAGTAGAGGGAGACCAGAGACAGAGACACCAGAGAGACACCAGAGAGAGACCAGAGACAGAGACACCAGAGAGACACCAGAGAGAGACCAGAGAGAGACCAGAGAGAGACCAGAGAGACACCAGAGAGACACCAGAGAGACACAAGAGAGACACAAGAGAGACACAAGAGAGACACAAGAGAGACACAAGAGAGACACAAGAGAGACACAAGAGAGACACAAGAGAGACACAAGAGAGACACCAGAGAGACACCAGAGAGACACCAGAGAGACACAAGAGAGACACAAGAGAGACACCAGAGAGACACCAGAGAGACACAAGAGAGACACAAGAGAGACACAAGAGAGACACAAGAGAGACACCAGAGAGACACCAGAGAGACACCAGAGAGACACCAGAGAGACACCAGAGAGACACCAGAGAGAGAGCAGAGAGAGACTAGAGACTCAAGAGAAAGAGTCCAGAGAGAGATGGGAGAGAGACTAGAGAGACCAGAGAGCGAGGCCAGAGGTAGACTAAAGAGAGACTAGAAAGAGACTAGAAAGAGACCAGAGAGAGACCGGAGAGACTAGAGACACACCAGAGATAGACGAGAGAGCGAGACCACAGGGAAACTGGAGAGACACGATAGAAACGAGAGAGCAAGACCATAGAGAGACCATAGAGAGACCATAGAGAGACTAGAGAGAGACTAGAGAGAGACTAGAGAGAGACTAGAGAGAGACTAGAGAGAGACTAGAGAGAGACCAGAGAGAGAGACCACACAGAGACCAGAGAGAGACCAGAGGGACCAAACTGTGACCAGAGAGAGAGACCAGAGAGAGAGACCAGAGAGAGAGACCAGAGAGAGAGACCAGAGAGAGAGACCAGAGAGAGAGACCAGAGAGAGAGACCAGAGAGAGAGAGACCAGAGAGAGAGAGACCAGAGAGAGACCAGAGAGAGACCAGAGAGAGACCAGAGAGAGTGACCAGAGAGAGAGACCAGAGAGAGTGACCAGAGAGAGTGACCAGAGAGAGTGACCAGAGAGAGTGACCAGAGAGAGTGACCAGAGAGAGAGACCAGAGAGAGAGACCAGAGAGAGAGACCAGAGAGAGACCAAAGAGAGACCAGAGAGTGACCAGAGAGTGACCAGAGAGTGACCAGAGAGTGACCAGAGAGAGACCAGAGAGAGACCAGAGAGAGACCAGAGAGAGACCAGAGAGTGACCAGAGAGAGTGACCAGAGAGAGTGACCAGAGAGAGTGACCAGAGAGAGTGACCAGAGAGAGTGACCAGAGAGAGTGACCAGAGAGAGAGACCAGAGAGAGAGACCAGAGAGAGTGACCAGAGAGAGTGACCAGAGAGAGTGACCAGAGAGAGTGACCAGAGAGAGTGACCAGAGAGAGAGACCAGAGAGAGAGACCAGAGAGAGTGACCACAGAGAGAGACCAGAGAGAGACCAGAGAGATAGACCAGAGAGACACCAGAGAGAGTCATCAGAGAAAGACCCAGAGAGAGACACCAGAAAGAGACCAAAAATAGACCAGAGAGAGACCAGAGGGACCAAACTGTGACCAGAGAGAGACCAGAGAGAAAATACATTTAATTGATGTCGTTGAATGTGGAGTGTCCTGGATCGTCCTTGGACCCTCCTCTATCGGCAAGCAACAACTGAATCTGCACGACGAGCCGGAGAGAAGTGTGATTTCTCAGGAGAGAGAGGAGGAGAAGCGAGATGTGAGAGCGAGCGTTAGCGAGACGGATGCACGAGATAAGGCGGCTCTTAAGATGTTTGCTCAAGCCTCATTAGCATTAGCGCCGGGCTGCGTCAGGACAGGCTGTGGTGGTCCGTGGTGTGTGAACTGTTAGCCGAGGAGCCGTCTGAGGGCTGCTCCGGGAGTGTTCGCTCGTTTGTTTTGAAGTCTAAGAATAATGACATCACTGGGGTCTGGTGGGGCTCGTGCAGAGATGTGTCACATGACCTGAGCAGCAGAAGAAGTCATGAGGACATTTAACACATAGATCCAGACAATACTGCACTGGCTGCTTCATAAACTGTTTATCTATGTTTGTTTATTCTCTGGTGTCGCTCTAGTGTCTCGCTAGGCTCTCTGTGGTCTCTCTCTCTGGTCTCTCTCTGGTCTCTCTCTCTGGTCTCTCTCTGGTCTCTCTAGTCTCTCTCTAGTCTCTCTCCGGCCTCTCTCCGGCCTCTTTTCAGTCTCTCTCTCCTGTCTCTCTAGGCTCTCTGTGGTCTCCTTCCAGTCTCTCTCTGGTCTCTCTCTGGTCTCTCTCCGGTCTCTCTCTAGTCTCTCTCTCTCTGGTTTCTCTCTGGTCTCTCTCTGGTCTCTTTCTCTGGTCTCTCTCTGGTCTCTCTCTGGTCTCTCTCTCTCTCTAGTCTCTCTCTGGTCTCTCTTTGGTCTCTCTCCAGTCTCTTTCTAGTCTCTTTCTAGTCTCTCTCTTGCCTCTCTCTGGTCTCTCTCTAGTCTCTCTCTGGTCTCTCTCTGGTCTCTCTCTCTGGTCTCTCTTTGGTCTCTCTCCAGTCTCGTTCTAGTCTCTCTCTTGCCTCTCTCTGGTCTCTCTCTGGTCTCTCTCCGGCCTCTCTCCAGTCTCTCTCTTTTGTCTCTCCCTCCTGTCTCTCTCTAGGCTCTCTGTGGTCTCTTTCCAGTCTCTTTCTGGTCTCTCTCTGGTCTCTCTCTAGTCTCTCTCTAGTCTCTCTCTGGTCTCTCGCTGGTCTCTCTCTGGTCTCTCTCTCTAGTGTCTCTCTAGTCTCTCATGTCTCTCACTGGTCTCTATCTGGTCTCTCGCTGGCTCACTGGTCTCTCTCTGGTTTCTCGCTGGTCTCTCTCTCTAGTGTCGCTCTAGTCCCTCTGGTCCCTCTCAGGTCTCTCTCTCTCTTTGTCTGCAAACACAAGTTTCAACAACTTTCATACATATATTTGTTAAAGTACACGCACACACACACACCACTCATCATCACTCTCCACATGATTTTTCCAT